GGCCCGGGGGTTCGGGCCTCGGAGGTGCGGGCGGAGGGGCGCGGCGCGGAGCCCCGCCCGGGGCTGAGAACCATCTTGTTTTCCACGCAGATCCGCAGGGCTACACGCGTCGCGCGCGTCCCGGGAGCGCCTCCTTTCTCCCTGCGGCCGCTTCAGGCTCGGTTAAGCCGTCCCTTCCCTCAGGCCGGCAGGCTGGGCGCGCAGGGGCGCCGGCCCCCGCCGGGCGCGCAGTGGCACCATGGGCACAGTGCTGTCCCTGTCCCCCAGCTATCGGAAGGCCACGCTGTTTGAGGATGGCGCGGCCACGGTGGGCCACTACACGGCCGTGCAGAACAGCAAGAACGCCAAGGACAAGAACCTGAAGCGGCACTCCATCATCTCGGTGCTGCCCTGGAAGAGGATCGTGGCAGTGTCGGCCAAGAAGAAGAACTCCAAGAAGGCGCAGCCCAACAGCAGCTACCAGAGCAACATCGCGCACCTCAACAATGAGAACCTGAAGAAGTCGCTGTCGTGCGCCAACCTGTCCACGTTCGCCCAGCCCCCGCCGGCCCAGCCGCCCGCACCCCCGGCCAGCCAGCTCTCCGGCTCCCAGACCGGGGTCTCCTCTTCCGTCAAGAAGGCCCCGCACCCTGCCATCACCTCTGCAGGGACACCCAAACGGGTCATCGTCCAGGCGTCCACCAGTGAGCTGCTCCGCTGCCTGGGCGAGTTTCTCTGCCGCCGGTGCTACCGCCTGAAGCACTTGTCCCCCACGGACCCCGTGCTCTGGCTGCGCAGCGTGGACCGCTCGCTGCTTCTCCAGGGCTGGCAGGACCAGGGCTTCATCACACCGGCCAACGTGGTCTTCCTCTACATGCTCTGCAGGGATGTTATCTCCTCGGAGGTGGGCTCCGACCACGAGCTCCAGGCCGTCCTGCTGACCTGCCTGTACCTCTCCTACTCCTACATGGGCAATGAGATCTCCTACCCGCTCAAGCCCTTCCTCGTGGAGAGCTGCAAGGAAGCCTTTTGGGACCGCTGCCTCTCCGTCATCAACCTCATGAGCTCCAAGATGCTGCAGATCAATGCTGACCCCCACTACTTCACACAGGTGTTCTCCGACTTGAAGAATGAGAGTGGCCAGGAGGACAAGAAGCGACTCCTCTTGGGGCTCGATCGGTGAGCCCCTGCCGCCGGCTTCCCGGCTCAAGGATTCCATTCGTTTTTAAAAATTTATTACTAAACGAATCAAGTTTTGTGTACAGTATGTGTCTAGCAAAGCCACCAAGGGCCTCTTCCCATGTTCTCTCCTTGGGTTTTTTTTTTTTCCCCCGGCCCTTTCAAGAACTCTGGGGACTTTCGAACTCATGAACCTTGTGCAAACCCAGAAGATGCATTCAGAGCCACTCAGGCTGCTGCCCGCTCACTTTCGGGGGCTCGAGGGACTGACGTGCCCGGGTCACCTGTACCCATGCTGGGTTCAGAGTAGATGAGGCTTCCCACTGTGCCGTGACGGGAGCCACAGCGGGGCTGGTTGGTGGCTGTGGCCCAGGAGGAGCTGACCCTCTTTTTCTGGCGACTGTTTCTCCCAAAGGCTCCTGGAGCCAGCTGCCCTGACTCAGGCTCCAGGAGGTTCTCAGCGAGGCAAGCTCTCCACTGCCCTGGGGCCTCAGCGCAGGAGCCTGGAAATGGGTCTGGTGCAAAGATTGTGGGTGACGACTGTTGACCGTGCAGGCCGGCCCGCCCTGTGTTGCTGCTTGGCTTTTGGGCTAAGGGCTTTTCTCACTGGCAGGATGGAGCTTCCCCGCCCTGCCCTTTTGTCTCTGCTCCCGGCTCCCACGTTAGTGTTGGTTAACGAGGTGGTTCGTTATTAGATTCCTCTCTCATTTTGGGTCCCAGCGAAGGGGGTGAGGAGAAGCTAGAGGTAGCTCCTTTCCCGAGTGAGTTTTTCATTTGAACAACGCAGCTCAGTCACTCTGTGCAAAAAAAAAAAAGCCAGGACAGTGGCAGGTCCCTGTGAGCAGTGCTGGGCAGGTGGGTGTCCATGCCTGAGATCAGGTGGGTGCTCACTGAAGTGCTAAGGCCTCTTGCTGGTGGACGTATTTGTCCTACAGAGCCGGGGGGAAGGTGAGATCAGTTGACAGGGTTGTCGTGGTCATGGCGTCTCCCACCCATACCCCATTAGTTTAAAGCTGTTTCCGAGCAGTTCGGTTTCTCCCAGAGATGAAGCTTGGCCCTGTGCAGCCTAGCAAGACGGCTGCATCTTAGAGACAATGGCAAGGTTCGAGTGTGACTTCCTGATGGCTTTGGAAGCTTGGTGACTGTCCAGCTGAACACTTGCAGCTGCTGGGTGTGGTGCCCACCTATCCCTGGTGGCTGCAAAATGCACTCTGTGGACTTTACTGGTTTTTCTTTCTAATTTTCCCAAACTGGTGGCTTGGGGTTTGGAAGTGGTCCAAGAGAAAGCAGTGAGTCTTCCTGCCTGGCCCTCACGCCAGCTTTGGGGAACAAAGAGCAATGTGAAGATGCTACCGAGGATTTCCTCTTCCTGTCCTGCTCCCCAGGGAGCTCTGGGATTGGGGGCTACACTAGGGAAAGCAGAGGTTATCTGACATAGGATTAGGTTCTAGGAGGCTGCCCACTTCTGCTCAAGCACTACTGAAAAATCACCTATGGAGAGAAAGCTGTGAAACTGAGGCCTCGATGGGAGAGGCCTGGAGCAGAGCCTTTCAGCCGACATACTCACAGAGGAGGGGAAGAGGACCTGACCCGCCGCCGCCGAGCCTCTCCTCCGTCCCTCAGCCAGGTTCCTAGAGAGCGGAGCCTGGGCCCTCACGAGGTGTCTGTCGAGAAGCTGAGCTGCCTAGCTGCAGCCTCTCTGGCCGGCCTGTCTTCAGATTCTGCTGCCACGGTGACCTACCTGTGCGGGGAGACCCCTGGGGCAGCTGGCCCCGGCGTGGTGGAAGAGGAGCTTCCCGCCTCCAGTCTGAGGAGGAAGGGGTGCGTGTCTGTAGCCCGCCCAGCTGCCGAAGCCGGCCTGGAGCTGTTCACGGAGCTGCAGTCACAGGATTCCAGCTCTCGACTGTTTCCTTCTCTTTGTACTTAAAAAAAAAAAAAGTTTGTTTTTTGTTTTTTTTTTAATGTTTGAGGAGGTGCATATTTCAGGAGTGGTCGGCGGCTAAGGAAGGGACTCCCTAGTTCCATTGTGAAGCCCGTGTGTTCTCCTCCCCTGCTCTGGCCATCAGTACTGTGTAAAGGAACAACTGATAGACTTGAGTGTTCGAGCAATGAACCCATCTGACACGCTGCTATGAAGACACTTTTAACACACACACACACACACACACACACAAAAGAGAAAAGGAAAAAAAAAGAAAAATGTGAAAAAAAATCTACAAAAACCCCTTTTATTCTTCGTTGTTTTTACAGTGGTACTGTGCATGCAAACCAGGAGCATTTTGTGTCTTAAGAAAAATAACCTTAGAACAGATGGCTGTGGGAATCACGCCGTGCTGAGAACAAGCCACTGAAGCATAGTTCAGGACTGGATTTTTCTCTTTTCCTCACAACCCTGCAGGGTTGGTATATTCTTTCCATGCGGTCGTTAGCATTTAGTTTTGTTCCAGCAGTGTTAAACTTGCAAGGAAAAGAAAACGTGCCATCCCCTGCCCCAGAATTTTCATAGCTGTACATCCAATACTGCTAATTACACACATGTGATGTATGTTTTTTTTTTTAGTGAAATTTCTTCTGTAGCTATTCTTTGACCAAACTGTGGATACTGTTAATTTATATTTGTCTCATTCCGTATGTATGTATGTGTAGCGTGTTTGTGAGTATGTGTGGTTTATAATCTGACGAGAGTCACGAAGCTCAGTTTGGCTGTAATTTAATTCCCCTTCCCTTATTTTTATTTATTTTTGTACTGTGCTGATTCAATAAAATGCACTGACCATCCATGACATCCACCTCTTTGTGACCCGCCGTTGGGAGCATGTTAGGGGTGCCTTTAGTGCATGATATGTGTATGCATAGGTTTGTGCAGGCGGAGGGGGGCGGTGGGGGGAACAGGTGGGGCAGACTTCCATGGTTAAGAAAGCAGCACCAGGGCGAGCCAGCTTTGGCCTAGTGGCTGGGCGGGTTCTCCTCAGGGGCTTTCTTTGTGGGGTCACGGGACAGGCAGCTCAAGCCCCAGAGGGCCAGTCAGGTTTAGGCACAGCCTGGTCAGTGTTAGCCACCTCAGTGCCACTTGGGCATCTGGCCTTAGGCTGCACGTTGAGTCTTGGCGCCAAGGCTGCCGCGCTTACCATCCCTGGGCCTGCCTGCTCAGTGTCCACTGCCCAGATGCCAGCAGGGGTGGGCAGGTGTCCCGGCGATCCAACAGCTGAGCTCCAGAGGTGTGCCGCTACCTCAGCCTCTGTGTCCAGTCTGCCTGTCAGGCCCGGGCAGAGGGCAGCA